TACGGACAACATCAAGAAGATGACGGTTTTTTCTTTCAGCTATCCCATTTTGTTGGGGTGTGGAAGGACACGACCTTTGAGATAATATATCATTTTTCTGCAAGAACTCTTGAAACAAATGAGATGTGTATTTCCCCCATTGTCAGAACGCAGAGTTTTAATTTTTGATGCAAACTGAGTTTGAACATAGGAATGAAAAAATTGGAATGCAGAGAAAGCTTCAGCTTTAGATCGCAAAAAATAGACCCATGTGAAACGACTATAGTCATCAATAAAAGTGATAAAATATTTGTAATGTGCATGAGATATTACAGGTGTGATGCCCCATAAATCACTGTGAATTATGTCAAAAGGATGATTTACATTTGATTGATGAACTGGAAATGGTAGAATTTTACTTTTACCAAGTTTACAAGAATTGCAATCAAATTGAACAGCACTAAAAGATGGGAAATGTTTATTGCCAAGAACTCCAGATTTCATTAAGGCATGAAGTACATTCGAATTTGGGTGACCAAGACGCTTATGCCATAATTGAAAATTAACAGTTGCAGAATTACAAGAAATAAAAGGCTGAAAAGAACATGGTGACAACAATGAATAAAGAGGAAAAAGACGTCCAACTTTAGGCCCCTTCGCGATCACCTTCCCTGAGTGTTGATCCTGCACATGACAACCAGACTTTGAGAATTCAACTTTGCATCACTGTCAACTAATTGACCAACTGAAATAAGGTTACTGGTGAGATTAGGGGAAACATAAACATTGGTAAGACATGAAGAAATATCACCAATTGTTGTGATAGGTAAATTGTTTCCATCCGCAGTGTGTATTTGTAAATTACCAGAGTAATTTGTAACATTGGTAAGAGAAGCAACATTGTTGGTCATATGATTGGATGCGCCAGAGTCAAAGTACCAAGGAGAGCTGGATAAAGAAACTTTACCTGAAAGACCCAAAGCAGAAAATGCAGAAACAATCATTTGTTGAACCATTTCAGGGGTTAAAGTTGGCACAGAAACAGGCGGATTCTGATCCACAGAAACAGGAGTAGTAGAAGAGCCAACAGTGGCAGTGAAGGCTGTTGCATTTCTCCGTGGTGGTCTGATTTGACATTCTTTGATGATGTGACCTTCTTTTTTGCAGTAATTACAGAACTTTTTAGGACAGTTTGAAGCAAAATGTCCATGGCCTTTGCAGCAGAAACATTGGACAGTACTCATGTCTCGACCTCGTGGTTTGGCTTGTACTGCATACACTACAGGAAGGGAGGCAGATTTCTGGTGTTCCATGTTTGTCTGAGTAAGGAGACGTTGTTCTTCACGAAGCAATTCATTTAGACATTCATCCAAGGAGGGAACAGGAGCCCTGTTCATTAGGTTGGTGCGAATGCCCTCAAAAGTAGATCTCAATTTCATAAGAAATTGATCTCGTTTTGTGCTGTCATGAACATTTTGGACTGCAGTTTGTCCTTCAGTCAACAAATCTTTATAGACAATGTCAGTATATTCAGCCCAAAGATTCATGAAATGAGAGAAGAATTCAGAAATTGAGAGACTATCCTGTTGAAAAAGAGAAATTTCATGTTCAAGCTGGAACCTGCGAGCAGTGTTTGTTTGGTTATAAATTTTCTTCAAATAGTCCCACATCTTTGCTGCCGTTGTGAAGGGTCTGAGATTGAGGACAATACTAGGCGCAACAGAGCCTATGATCCAAGTCATTACCTGTGCATCTTTGGCCTCCCATTGGGCATGTGCCGCTTGGTGCGTAGTTTTGTCAGGAGCAGAATTAGTTCCGTCAACATGACCCCAAAGCTCCTTGCCTTTGACAAAGATCTGGAACTGAAATGTCCAGGTGGAGTAGTTCTTTCCATTAAGACGAACAAAAAGAACATCATATTTTTCAGTAGACATGATGCTGAGAAAAATCGCGAGAGGAAACAAAAAACAAGAATTGCGACGTGAACAGTACGCGCAAAAGACTAGAACTTGGGAACTCAGAGACTGTGAGCACAGCGAAAAATTTAGTAACGAAACCTAGACTGATACCATGTTAAACTTAGAGAAATTGGGATAAAACCTTAGGTTCTCCTTCGGAGAATTCTCATTTAAATAGTATGATATAATTACACAATCATAACTATACAATCATAACCTACAGCTAGCTAATTAATTAAGGATATAATTACACAATCATAACCTACAGCTGGCTAATTAATTAAGGATATAATTACAAATCATAACCTACAGCTGGCTAATTAATTAAGGATATAATTACAAATCTGCACAAATAATGCCAAATATTCTGCTCATCAATTCTATTGACAAGGAGTTCACCAAGAAACCAGGAGACTAATCATCGCCTAAGTTCTTGAGAGGAGAATCTAGACAAAATTGACAAGTTGCGCGTACTACTGAAAGAGATGATGCAGAAAAAAAGGGACAGTCATCGCAACGGGACTCAGCAAGGAACCATCTGATGAATGCTCTCAGAGCGAGATAGATGGCACCAGGTCGTCTTCCATCACCAAACGCTCCTACACCACCAAAATTGAAGTTCCCATATTTGAAGGTACGAATCCCTTGGGTTGGATCACGCTTGCCAAATTTTTTTTCGAAAAGCAAGGGATTCCAGATGATGAGAGGATGCAACTTGCGTTTGTTAGTATAAGGGAAGCACATTTCACTAGTTCTGCTTCCTCCGCAAGAAGATGCCAGATTTGAACTGGGAAGCTTTTACGGCGATGATGTTTCAATGTTACGATGGTCATGCCTCTGGGAGCATATATGAAAGGCTAACTAAATTTAGGCAAGAATGTTGTGTGGATGACTATGTAAAAGCGAATGAGGCTTTAGTGGCCCAAGCAGCCTGATAGACTCTCAGAGCCCAAATCCAAATTGTCAAAGCCCATTCTGATTTATGCTCGTGGTAAAAATAGGAGGAAGATTAATTGGGCCTCAATGAATAGTGATGCAGCACTTGAAGAGCGTGATGCTGAGGAGCGTGAGCCTGAGGTCCCTATTGGAGAGTGAATCGGTTTTGTGAGTAGGAGGTTGGAAGTTTGTTATTTAGGTGTGCTGCTGCATGGAGGGAGGCACCTGTTGGGGTCATGGGAATTAGGCTTGATTTGGGGGATACTCAGGACGTCTAATATGTGTCCTGCTATTATTTTGCTTCTGTTATTATTTCTTTCCATCATTTTGCCCTGTAATAATTACTTCCTTGTAACAGAGATTATATCTTGTTAATTTCATTGAGTTTAATACAAACAGCTGTGGTATTTCTCCTTAAAATTGTTTTGATCCTATCACAGCCCAAACTACATATCTTCAGGGTGGGCAGAGACAAGAAGTTTGGAGCCAGGTCAGGACCTATGACCCAAAAGATGTTTTGCAAGCCATGGATTTGGCACATGACATAAAAGAGGAGCTGAAATATTCTCAATTCCAATCCGGGTTCTCGTCACGTAATACTTATGGCTAAGGATGCTCCTATGGGCTATGGCAGCAACATAATGATGCACAATGGGTCTACGTGTGGCGAATCTTTCAAGTCAGTCACCGGTGGTTAGCAATCAAAGGCGACCAAGGCCAATCCTTATTCTTCGACAGAGCGATGCACCATGGGGGAGGAATCCATGGGTTCCACGAATAACCCAATTCAGGGGGTTTCTCTGGAACAAAAAACAGGGGCGAACGACACCTACCGTATAGTGAGTATCTCAAGCGGTGCAAAGAGGGACGCTGCTTCCATTGCGACCTTCCCTTCAGCCCAGACCATAAGTTTCCAGAAAAGAATCCAAGGGTTACCATCATAGGTGAAGACAAGGATTTCAACGCATGCAGTGAGAAGCATCATCTAGTGACTGTAGGGCATGAGGAAGAAGATGTCCGTGACATGCCAGAAGCCTCTTGTTGATGATTGGATCTTTCAAGTTTTTAAGCTGGAGGAATGACACAACCTAAGACTATAAAGTTGATGGGGAGCTTAGCTGGGGAACCTGTGTTAGTCTTTGTGGATAGTGGAACAAGCCATAATTTTGTAATACATCTTGACCCAATTGATTCTTGAATCCAAGTGTGATACATCTTGTTATTGAACCTAATTTGATCACCAATCATCTTGTAATTAAATAATAAGTGTGTGCTAATAAAACCAAATTAAACCAAGTTGTTTTCCTTGTGAATCTGGTTTTGTGTAAGGTTCGGCTATCATTGTTAAATTGTGTTATCATTGTTCTCTCGACATTGTTACATTATTTACATAATTCCTGTCACATATTTGATGTTTTTTTGTGTAAGCTAGGGCAAGAGAGAATTGACCACCACCATCCACATCCTGGAATTGCTTGTGGAGACTTAAAGAACACTAAGGCTGAAGCATATACATAAAGAAAAGTTTCATGGAAACAAAGAAGGAAGAGTTGAAGTCAAAGTTATATTATGTCAAATTTGAGTCTTTTTGATATTTCATTGTATTCTATTTGGCTGTGTAATTATAAAGTAGTTATAGCTTATCATTCGATTTGGTTGTAAAAGAATATTTGGCTGTGTAATTGCAAAGGCCAGCAGCAAGGTTACAATAAAACATCATCTACCATAGAGCTGTCATGGCAGTACACAATCCATTTGTACAAAAGTTGGGTTTCTTTTTAAGTTAATATTAGCTCTGGCTTAAATATTTTATTTATTTTTCATTCAACATTCTTATTCAAAAGACACTCATCTTAATTGTTCTTTTGTTAGTGAGCTATCTCTCTAATTGTTTTTGACTGTCCTGCAAGATATCATCTCACTACATTGTGTTAGTTGAATGAATCAACGAGCCCAAACATTGAGTGAATTGCCTTCTTAATTTTTTGACAAAGGGGTAGCTATGTCAACCCAAGATCAGTGAACATAAAGTAGATAGAGCCAGAAGCGAAAATAATTAGTGAAATTCTAGCCCCAGAATATTCTTGATGTAATGATATCGAATTAATTTATCATACATGTTCAATGTCACTCTACTACCCTGTATTCAGTATAGATCATTACACCAAAACAATAATAAATTCAGCGAGGTATTTAAAGAGTAGGAGACACATAAGTAGTGAAAAGAGTCAAAATTGCTAATTTTAGGAGGTAATTAAAAATGTTACGTTTAAAGTGATTATGATTAAGCAACATTACAAAAATGAAGAGAAATTTCTTAAAAGGAATATTTTCAAATATACAAATATTGTACCTTACCTTGCTCTTTTGCACTCTTACACGAACTTTCAGGCCAATTTCTTCATCTCCTTTAGCCTAAAAGGAAATGAAAATGCACACAACAGCACTTCAAACAATTTTGACATTATTGCTAATAGATTATATTAGCAGCAAGGAATTTCTTGCACGTGAAAATTGCTGATATTTTTGAATAGAAAGGCCAATAGACACAGCAAGGTTGAAGATGATATATAACATTATGTCATAACAGAGCTATTGTGCTTACAGACTTTATCTTCCCTATAGGACGAACTTCTAGCCTAAGTGATGCAAAGAACTTCAATGCAATTCCACCGCTTGTCACTTCTGGATTTCCGTAATAGACACCAATCTACAGAAGTAAGCAAAAATATAAATCACACCAACAAAAAGCTAGAGATTCAACGGATCATTACACATACAATGAAGTCATTAGATTAGGTAAGCAGTTGCAAATTTACAGTATCATATTTCAATGCATGCAGTCTTCCAGAAAGAAAGAAAAACTAATAAAATAAAAGTACCTTATATCTTATTTGATTCAAAAATATAAGAGTACAACCAGCTTTAGAGGCATTTCCAGACATCTTACGCAAAGCTTGGCTCATAAGACGAGCCTGTAATCCCATTTGCTGCATTCCAATCTCACCCTTTGTATTTATATGAAAAATATCGTTAGAAAGAAATGCAGTCCCCCAAATTATGAAACAAAAGTACCTAAAAACAAGGAAAGTAATTGCTTACTTCAATTTCTGCTCGTGGAGTGAGAGCTGAGACCGAATCAACACAGATGAGATCTATGGCACCAGATCTACACATACGATCTGCGACTATAATATGGAAAGTTCAATCAACTCATAGACACCATACAGCACCCTGCTAATGCAATATGGACACTGCCAAAATTATCTTATCCATTCCAACACAAGCACATTAAAGACAAAGACATTACTCTCAAGAGCCATCTCTCCATGATCAGGTTGGCACACAATCAAGTTCTCTACATCCACTCCTAATGCTTTAGAATATGTTGGATCAAAAGCATGCTCAGCATCGACAAGCATTGCATTGCCTCCTAACTTCTGCATATCATAAACAAAATTGTGAATTGATCCCAAAAACATGTTTACATCAAGTGAATTTTAGTGATCAAGAACTAATGATGGGAAAAGCTGTAGATAGATTAATTACCTGCACTTCTGCAATAGCATGAAGTGCTAGGGTGGTCTTCCCACTGCTTTCTGGTCCAAATATCTGGAAATAGATATTGCAGACAACATTAGCTTGCCCATGACAGAACAAATTAGTTGAAGAAAAATAATAATAGAAGAACCAACAATACTACCACATAGTGCAAATCAAAGCATGGAAGAATTAGGACAGCTTTAGGGCTTAAGTCAGTTTGTTCAGATGGTTTGAATCAAAAGCCTCACAAACTACTATGACATACTTTTGTAAATAATTATATTTGTAAATAATTATTTTTATTATTCCTCTAGGTTATTCTAGGAGCTTCTATGAGTTTAGCCCATTAGGTATCTTAATCTCTTTAAATAAAGAACCTCTTGTACATGTTTTATACAAAATATACAAATTTTTTTCAAGTTGGCATCAAAGCTCTCGACTCTGAGGGCCTTCCTTTTGCTTCAGCTACCTTTAATGTGAAACTCTTGTTTCCAGTCTCCTTGCAGCCGGAAAATTTTCCGGAGACCTTTTGGTTTGAGAGGACCATCGTTTGACTCAAATTTCCCAAATCTATCGTTCTACGGGAGTTTTGTTGGTGGAGACTCTTGGGAATTATGATGAATGCTAAAATATCAGATAGGTCTACTCTGTTATTGTCCTCTGAGCCTTTTGCTGATTCTAGAAACATTGATGAGTCTGCTATGATCTCAACAAAGAAAGAAGGTTCTTCTCAAGGAGGTTCCTCTAGCAAGCCTACTGATGGTTCTTCCTCTAAGACCAAAAAAGATGACAGTTGGTGCTCCTGTTGTAAATGGGGAGGTCATATCAGGGACCTATGCTTTCGCCTAGTGATCGTTCTTCCTCTAAGACCAAGTGCTTCTATTGTAAATGGGAAGATCACATTAAGGACCTATACTTTTTCCTCTATAGGAAGCAACAAGTTCTGGAGAAGATCCGGGGGGAGGGGGGCGACTCCTTATGGAGAAGCTCATTTGACCTCCTCTTATGTAACTATTATTGGTGATGTCCTACCTATGTCTTCGGAATTCATTACTATTCGTCGAGATGAGTAGGAGCGGATTAGGACTATGCTTGATTCTATGAGTAAGCCATTTGATACTAGTGCCTTGGCTATGACTAGTATGACTACCAACTCTCATTCTTTTCTTACTTCCTGTACTGATTTTAAAAATTTACGGATTGTGGATTGTGATGCTGCTGATCATATGGCTTGCTGCACTAACTCTTTTCTTTCTTATCACCCCACTATTAGCACCTATGCTATAGCCGTCATTGGTGGATCTCACCCATCAGTTGCGGGTTCTGGTAACATACACATACAACCTTCCCTGCATCTCAAGAATGCTCTTTATGTTTCCCAGCTCTGCACGAATCTTCTTTCTATGCATAAAATTACTAAAGATTTGAATTGTTCTGTAACTTTCTTCCCTACTCACTGTGTTTTTCAGGAGATCCCCACCGGGAAGACGATAAGGGGTGGTAAGGAGCAAGGTGGACTGTACTATCTCGTTCCCTAGTTTGTAGCAGACTGTGTTCAGGATCACACATTGATGACTTGCTGCCAATCGACTTCTGATTCTTTGATTTGGCTTTACCACAAACACCTGGGACCTCCTCCTTTAAGTCTGCTTAAGTCTTTGTTTCCATCCTCTCTTTTTTGGTAATCGTTTCCATCCTTGTTTTTATCTAAGTCTGTTGAATTTTTTCACTTGGATGTTTATGACTTAGCAAAGCACCATCATGTAACTTTTCCTTCTAGTACAATAAAAAGGTTTGAACCTTTTGATCTTATTCATTCTGATGTTTGGGGTTCTACAAAGGGGAATGTTTCTGGTAATAAATAGTTTGTTTCCTTTATTGATGATTGTACTCGAGTAACTTGGATATTTTTTATGCATGACAAGTCTAAAGTTCCTCAGCCATTTATTCAATTTTATAATATGATTGAGACTCAATTTGGTAAAAATATTAAAAGATTGAGATCAGACAATGGTACGGAGTATGCCAACCAGCACCTTTCCCAATTTATAAGGGATAAGAGAATGATTCATGAACTCACATATGTCGACACCGCTCAGCAAAATGGGGTTGCTGAGCGAAAGAATCGTCATCTTCTTGGAGTCACTCAGGCATTACTCTTTTAGACAAATGTACCTAGTTATTATTAGGGAGATTCCATTCTCACTAATCTAGTTAATCAATCGCTTATCATCTCGAATCCTTGATCATGTAAGTCTTATTCACTCCATGACTTATTTTTTTCCTTTTGTTCCCACTATGCAGAGTCTTCAGCCCTGAGTGTTTGGATGTGTTGCTTTCGTCCATGTCCATAAACAACATCATAGTACGTTGAACCTAAGGGCTCTTAAGTGTATCTTTCTTAGCTATGCCCCTGATAAAAAAAAGGTACAAATGCTATCATCGCTCTAGCCAAAAATTCTTTGTCTCTATGGATGTCATCTTTCATGAATCTGAGTCATTTTACCCCAATCCTCATCTTTAGGGGGAGAGTAGTAGTTTCGATGTCCCTTTCTTTTGTATCTCTTCCTGTTTCTGACACTCCAGATTCTACAAATACACATGACTTAGTTGATGAAGAACGAAAGGTTGGGACACCTCGGTTGGTATATCAGAGAAGGAAACAACCCACACTATCCCACCAACAACCTCAATTGCTGAACTACTGGTAAGTCCTGAATCTCTTGTTTCTAATCCTAATATTATTAACTCTGATGACTCACCCATTGGCTTAAGAAAAGGAAAAAGATCTTACATCCAATATCCTATTTCTCATTTTGTCTCTTTTAATAACTTGTCAGGGCAACATAAAAAGTTTTATTTCAGCATTAGATTCCATCTCAATCCCCGAATTAGTGCATGATGTAATAAAAGATGGGAATTAGGTCGAAGCCATGCAAGAAGAAATGAACGCCTTGCAGAAAAATAAAACATGGGAACTTGTTTATAGTTCCAGTGGAAAGAACCCAGTAGGGTGTAGATGGGTGTATACACTGAAGTATAATTCTGATGATACTCTTAAGAGATATAAGGCTCGATTAGTAGCCAAGGGTTACACTTAGATTTATGGTATTGATTATAAAGAAGCTTTTGCTCCAATTGCAAAAATGAACACTGTAAGAACCTTATTGTCCCTTGTTGCACATTACAATTGGGACATAAATTAATTTGATGTGAAGAATACTTTCCTTAACTGTGAGTTAGAAGAGAAAGTCTACATGGAAATCCCACCAGGATTTGACTTTACAGATAGAGAGAATAACGTTTGTAGGCTAAGAAAGGCCTTGTATAGGCTGAAGCAATCCCCTCGTGCCTAGTTTGGGATATTTACTAAGGTTATGACAGCCTTAGGATATAAACAAAGTTAAGGAGATCACACACTCTTCTTTAAACAATCACAAGATGGTAAGCTTACTCTCCTCCTTGTATATATTGATGATATTATTATAACAGAGGATGATATAACGAAGAAACACGCCTTACAAGAACCATTAGCCTACGAATTTGAGATTAAAGACCTTGGGAGATCGAAATATTTCCTAGGAATAGAGGTAGCTCATTCAAAAGAAGGAATCTTTATCAGTCAAAAGAAGTATGTTTTTGATCTTCTTAAAGAAGCAGGAAAACTTAGATGTAAATCTTCTAGTACTCCCATTGAGTAAAATCACAAACTGGGCAATGAAAAAGAGAGTCCTCCAGTTGATAGAGGACAATATCAACAACTAGTGGGGCGGTTAATATATTTGTCTCATACTAGACCTAATCTAGCTTATGCGGTTAGTATTTTCAACCAGTTCATGCATAATCCAAAGAAAAAACGCATGCACGCAGTGAAAAGAATTCTTCAGTTTCTTAAAGCTACTCCTGGTAGAAGGCTATTATGCCGACGTTGAGGAAATCTTTTTAGAAGTGTATATTGACATTGATTATGCTGGGTCAGTGACTGATCGTCGATCTACCACCGGCTATCTTATGTTTCTTTGTGGCAACCCAGTGACATAGAGAAGTAAGAAACAGGATGTGGTTGCTTAATCAAGTGCAGAGGCTGAGTTTCTAGCTATGGCTCAAGGCATTTGCAAATTGTTGTGGCTAAAAATCATACTTTATGATCTCAAAATCAGATGTGAAGAATCTATGAAGTTACTTTGTGATAATAAATCCATCATCTGTATAGCTCATAATCCAGTCCAACATGATCCACCATCTGTCGACTGCAATTTCATCAAAGAGAAACTTGATAGCAAGTTGATTTCTACTCCGTACATTCCCTTGGGGACCAATTAGCTGATGTTTTGACAAAATGGCTTCCCACGGATAGATTTTAAGAACTTAGGGCCTGTTTGGTGTGACGTATAAGACCTGATAGTATAAGCTTATACTATACGTTATGACATTTTCAGTTGTTTGGTGTGACCATCGTATAGTATAAGCTTATACAGTAAGACCCCCTAATACATCAAAACGATGTATAACTTAATCCGGCCTATGGAGGAAGGATTAGGCCTGACAAGGGATTGATGTATTAATATTGCTTACAAGTACAATTTTCAAGAACTAATATATCATTTCAATATTAATATATTAAAATAATTTTTTTTAATATATTAATTTTTAAAATATTGGAAGATATTATCTTATACAATACCATACCAAACGCTGGATAGCATTAAAATTTAATCAGGTCTTATACAATCAAGTCTTATACTATCAGGTCTTATGCATCAGGCTTATCCAATACTATGCACCAAATATGCCCTTGTTAGCAAGATGAAAATAATAAATATCTATTCCTCAGCTTGAAAGGGAGTGTTGTAAATAATTATATTTGTAAGTAATTATTTTTCTTATTCCTTTAGGTTATTCTAGGCTAGAAAGCACCGACATGTGTTTTTTAAAAAAAATTGCATGTCGGACACCGACACATGGTCAATACTCCGACACGTGTTTCCGACATGCAGTCAACTTTTTCCGACACGTGGTCAACGCTGGGGTGCTAAACGAACCAGAGGCCTTTCAGGGGCCTTTGGCTCTGCTCGTGAAGGCCTGATCTTACATGTCTAAAATTGGTTGTTGGCACCAGGCTTGAACTTGTATAAAAGCTCGTTTAATAAAAAGGCTTTAGGCTCCAATTCAAAAGCTCGGCCTTAGAGCCTCTCAAGCTTGTCTAGTATATTATTTTATTTTTTTATTTTATATTTTTTATACTACTTGTATAACCCTCTCTTTCTCTTCAATCCATTTCACCCCATTTTATTGGTTAAACTGACTTTTTGAATGATTTTGTTCTATATTACGTTGTTTGGATAACATTGAATTTATGAATGTTTATGAAATTACTAATTTTGTTGATTGTATATTCTGTTTGAATAAACTTTTGTTGTCTTATTTTTTTTAAACTGACTAAACTGAGCTTTTATTTTGTGTAAGTAAGTCAGGCCATAGGCCAATAATTATATTCATAACAGGTAACAGGCTTGGTCAAGCTGACACATTTAAACACAGACTTAGCCTTTTAAGATCAAAGCTCGGCTTGGCCCGTTAACACCCCTAGTCAACGCTCTAACACGCAACCGACACCTTTTTTTTAGCTCTAAATTTTATTTTATTAACTAAAAATGAAAAAATAATTTATAAGTCAATTTTTATGTTATGGATTTGACATAAGAAAATAACAAGGTATGAAAAATTACTTTTGCTTTGTATTTATGTTAATGGAATTTGAATATTTGATTGGTTATATGACTTATTATGGATTGTTATATGTATTAAATATAAATTATATTATATATATTAAAAATATTATTTAATATCAAAACGTGTCCTAACGTATCGAAATATGACATTTTTTTAGAATTAACTTACGTATCCCGTATCGGTGTCGGTGCAACATAGATTCTAGGAGCTTCTCTAGGTTTAGCCCATTAGGTCACTTATTCTCTTTAAATAAAGAACCTCTTGTGCATGTTTAATACAATAAAATGTACAATTCCATTTTTCAAGTCATACTCCAATATAGCTCAAGTACCATATATGCAGACTGACGTGAAAAAGGTCACAGAACCAAGAAAAGGAAAAATTGATGGGGACCGTATTTATCAAATGCGCGTAGCGGGCAGTAACGGCCGACCCTTGAAAACACTATAGCACTATAGCAGGTAGTGGTACAGCGCAACGGTGAAATCTTATGCATAAACATGCTATATATAATATAGATATACTACACATAGCTCAAAATAAAGGCATTCATTTATAATTAAAAATAATATCACTGTCATTCCTAACAATAATTATGAATACTGTCAATTAATAATTAAAAATACTGTCATTCCTGACTCTTGAAGATGTTTGTTCATTGGCAACCATCTTCAATTTGGTTGCAGGAACAAATTTGGATAAGTTGTCAAAAGCCAAAACTAGTAATGTGGATCAACAAAATTGGAATAAAAAATAATTTGAATAAACAAAAAGAAGTTGAACAGAATCTGTTCAACAAATGGATTTGAACAGAATTGAAAAAAATATAGACTAATAGAATTGGATTGATAAAAAGAAATAAATATGGATCACAAAGCAATGTTCAACTCTTGCTAAAGTTAAAATACCTTTTGCTTCAGCTTTCAAAAAATGTCATGGAGCTGCTTTTATTCTTACTATGTTAGCATACGCAAAGTTTTGTGAAAAAAATCCATATAACTTTAGATACTTGCATGACATAATACCAGAGTTCAAACTCCAAATCCATGTTAAGCAAAAACAGAGACAGGTAGAAAAAAGAGTAGAAAATAGAGAGAGAAGCATATAAAAAAAAAATGGAAAGAACCTAAAACAAAGAGAATCGTTGCCGAAAGTCAGTCACTTGTTGCCGTTCACCGCAAGTGGAAGGGCTAGGCGCTGCTGATCGAGTGAGTCGTAGGATTTTTTTCGATGGTTTGACGCAGAGAGTAGGGTCAAATTACAAAAGAGAGTAAAAGACAATTTAACCCTTAAGAAAAAGACTGCTAGGTCATTAAATGAAGGGCCAAATGGAAGATTGACCTTAATTTGGCTGTAAAAGCAGCCGCTACAACCACTACTGTGAACATAGTGTTGCATAACAGCTTATAGGGATGAGCTCAGCGTTGCATAGCAGCCAACACGCAACAGTTGCATAATTGTGCTTCGATTAATAACTATGATGTGGACAAGGACATAAATGGAGAGAAATAGAGATGAAAATGGGGGCAGGTAGGCTAAGGAAGGAGAAACCATATGCGCTATAGTGCTATTTTAGCAGGTAGTAGCCCCGACCGCTATTTCCGCTATGCCACACAACAGTTTTCTATAGCGGCAGCTGTTGCGGGCTGAATTGCAGGCAATCTATAGTGAAGGGATTCTGAAATCTCATACTTGCCCTCGTTATTGTGTCCCAACCTTCATATTAAAGGGGTATAATGGACTTTTAATCCTTATTTTTAATCATAGTCGTATCTCCATTCCCTTGCTCTCCCTCTCTCTTGACTTAGCATTTCTTAATCTCAGTTGCATAAAGCTCTCCACCCATCGTGCAATTCATTTTCAAGCAAGCCCATAAAATTCTTAATCCATATCAAATTATAATTCGTGTTCCATACTCCATCAAGAACCCACAGAAGGTAAATAAGATGACACAAGGAAATGAATTGAGTCACAGCATGAACCATAAAGTCAGTACCTCTACAATTCTTCCTTTTGGAAGACCACCACCTAAAGCACAATCTAATGTCAAACAGCCACTGGGGAAAGTTTCACTGCAACATTCAAGATGATGGAAAATATGTCATATGTAATCTAATCTAAATCACAGAAACTAGTGACAGGGCACAATTTGATGTTATTTAAATATTTTAATGCAATCAGGCGGGGGACATAAGTGAGACAGATGATAAAGAATGTGAAGAAGATACATACACCAAAGCTCCACCAGCACTGCCCAATCTTGTAACACTACCCTTTCCAAAAGAGTGGTTTATATCATTCATCGCTGCTTCCAGTGCTTTTTGCTAGAACGGAAATTTCATTGTCAGATTGAATATACTTTTATATTAGTAATATATCCCGTGAACAATGTATTAATTATTAAATGCAACGCTAGTAGAATTGGGCCATGCTGACATCATATTTTCATTAGAACAATGATCTAAAACCATTTTATAACAAACATGGAACCAGATATCCTAAAAGCTGGCATGTTAAATGAGTCCAATAGACTAATAAATAAAACATTATACTACCATGAAGACTAAGATTAAGGTGAAGAATAGAAAAGATGATATGGTGAATTATTGTATTATTCTGACTACCCAAAAGATAAATAACATAGATGATAACATATATATATAGAACCAACAAAATATCATAAAAACATTAAGATGATAGAATGGTCCAAAGATTGAAGAAAAAATGAAGGAAAAAAAATGGGATTTTTATTGATGCGGTCTCCCTTACTCCTGGATCAATGGAGAAACCAAGAAGAGTAAGAAAGACTACCAAGTTGTTGTCTCCCAAGTATTCTAGTAGTGGCCGGTAGCGGCCAACCCCTGAAAACATGCATACCAAAAATTGTGGTATAGCACAACACTATAACACTAGCAAATAGTGGTATAGCACAACAGTGAAATCCTACAAAAGGGCATTATAGTTCTATAAACATGCACACCAAAAATTGTAACAAGGGATAAGCAAAGATAACTTCAAATTTAAAAAATCATTATGACATCTTCTACTCAAAACAGAAATAAAAGCTTTTTAAGAGATTGTAGAAGTGTAGAACTGAATTTAAACCCCAAAAATCATTATAAATAGATGTAGAGCTCTTGTCTGTTTTAAGCCAAGCAATTCAGTACCAAATAATCTTCTCAATTCTATTATGAACCCCAACAAAAAGGCAAAGAGGCAATACAAGATAAGAAAGACAGCATGAGAGTGATGCAATCTCTTAAGGAGGAGAAACCCCATTCAATATTGAAAAATCCAACTCACTCGATCATAGGTCTTCTCAAAATGTAGTTCATGGACCACCATACCTTTTCCTCTTCTATAAATATAATCAAGCACTTCTTAGCATTAATAATAAGTGCCACATAACACAACACCGCAGCAGGGCTTAACAGTTCCATGTTCCAGGCAGCAGTTTAATGGAATTCACATCTTTCTAAAGATTATGTCATAAGTTAGAATCACTTTATACCATTTATCTTAGCATGTACACTTTATCAACTGATGAAATCTCGAGAGAATGAACATTCACTCATTTATTATATAGTATTATAAAAAAAAATTAGAAAGTGTGGCTGATTTAAGCACTGCATTCCCAACAGATAAGAATTCACTACACATTTCACAAGTCTATGAAAGGATGTGAGATTTCCAGATGCACACTCCTCTCCTCTTTCCTTCATAAAAAAGAGATACATGGACAATAGCACAATAAAACCATGACTACCTCTTAAAATGTCAATGCTAATTCCACCTCCAAATTCCTAAAAGTTGTTCAATTAGTTCAATAGAGGATGCCACAAAAAGCAAACAAACTTTGTCTCAATTTCAATATCGAGTTAAATAACTGCAGCATACCCAGCATTACATTTAACACACTTATCAATTAGTGATTGAAGCGAACACTAAAAGTTCAGGTCAGCTACCCAAAAGAATAAAATTACTCTCTTTCAGAGTGACTATAAACAGACAATAAAAACCACAAAATTGTTCTAGAAAAGTAATATTTTCCCAAAGAGAAACGAGAGATTACTTCACCAAAACAAAAAGTTGCAACAAGTATTCAAATGCATTAATTCGCTTTAAAAAAAAAAACAAAGAGAAAATAGACACCTTTGTGAACGAAATTTAATCAAAACCCAAAAAGGCAAAATGGGTCATAGTCAAAACATTAGAATATCCATTCCGGTAGAGAAAGAAACAAAAACAAAAACAAAAATAAAAAATGCTATACCCTGTCAAGAAAGCGAGGATCAAAGTCCCCAGAAAGAGCACCATTCAGTCTCCCTTCAAGCTCGCACTGAATCCTGACATGCTTCAAAGCGGAGAGGGGACGAAAAGAGTGAAACCTCAGAGGAAGAGGGAGGAAGAGAGATGAAGAGGGCGCCTTGAGAATCACAGTGTTGGGTTTCAGAGGGAACACCAAATCCATTGCAGACTAGGAATGAACACACTGTGATACAATAATACAAGTAATTTTGTATTTTTGTACAGTGTAAGGGAGAAAAAAAAAAATATAGAACGACAATAGTCTGTTGATACAAAAATCCATAATTCGGTCGGGTTGTTCATCATAAATCGGGTAATAGACAAATTTTGAAAATCGATTTCATTTTTTCTTTTTAAAGAAATTATTTTTTAACAAAAAAACACTTTTTATGTATTATTTATTTTAGTATTACTTTTTACAAAAGTTAAAATTATTTATATTTTCAAAAAATATTTTGATTTGGAAAAAAATATTTAACTTCTGACTTCTATTTTTTTTAGAAATTAAAACTTTTAACTTTCAAGAAATGCAAGTTTTTGACTTTTTCCGTGATTTTTATTTTTTCTTTAAAGCAGATATCCAAACGAACTTATAACGAGAAGTGTTTTATTTTCTTAAAAAAAAAATAGCTTTTGGAAAGGAAAAAAGCTCATATAAATGGACCCTTGATTTGTTTTGAATTCTTTTTGCTTTGATTGTTTATATATAAAAAATGTCCATTTTAGACAATGTTATCTAATGTTTCATGAAACCATGTCTTTTTTTTTTTTATAACATTAACGGCGAAGCCCCAAACAAACAACCAGAAACAAAAAATAACTATCCAGGGTCTATATCCCTACAAGAGGAAATTTCCTGAAGATCGTGATCAAATAACTGAGCAAGGTGAAACGGCATAACTCTATGACTCCAGAATCCAGTATCTTTGTGAAGAGCAGACTTGGCTAACCAATCTGCACAGGAATTAGCTTCTCTTGGAATATGAGAAAGCGTTACCTCCCAATCCTGACCGATGAGTGCTTGTATCTTAGCCACTATACGAGGCTGACAAGCTGCATTGCAATCAGCAAGCAAAGAGAATACTTCAGAAGCATCTCTTTCTAGTTCCACCTTCTTAAATCCCAGTTGCCAAACCAATTCCAGACCTTTTAGAGTTCCCCAAAGCTTCGCCATTAAAGGAGTGCAAGCACCAATATGATACTCAAAGCCTCCCAACCAAGAGCCATCATCAGATCTGATAATCCCACCACAAGCAGCCACCTCAGTATTCCTTTCAACTGCCCCATCAATATTAATTTTCACCCAATTTAGCCTTGGAGGTTTCCATAAACTCATACGAGTTGGATGAATGCTAGTAGTAGCCACAGCCTTCCTACCCATGCAGTTACGTACTTCCTCTATATACATAGCAATTATGTGCGTTCCATGGGTTGGATGCTTAAAGTTAGTATCATGGACATTTTTGTTCCTCCATCCCCAAATGAACCAGCAAGAGATAAAAAAGACATCACGCCAATCATCTGAATTACTTTGATTCCAAGCTTTTGAGATATTATTTTCAACCCAATCTCTAAGATCCAAGCTGTAGAATAAGCTTTGCCGATTAGCTGAAACCAGAGAATTCCAAACACTTCTAGCATGCTTACAATCTCTTAGAACATGGAGATTTGTTTCCAACTCACCAGGACACATTTTACAATGACCAGATTCCCCACTCCATCTAGATGTGCGGTCTTTAGTAAGAAGGCGGCCATGCATGATGATCCACATACAAGATTTAACACGTTGAGGCCCATGCCATTTCCATATGGTAGTCCAAGAATTTTTCAACGGCATGAGAGGGAAACCAAGCATGTTATAATACGCGGTTTTAACTAAAGAGCAGCCAACCTTTTGATTTCTCCAAATAATGCGGTCATTTCCATCCGATGCGCTAGGAATGAGAGCAGCTTGGATCCTTGCAACAGCTTGATCATTGAGATATTGACAAATATAGAGAAAGTTCCATTGACCAGTATTGCTGTTCACGAAGGCACTAACAGGGAGATTCAACTCCATTGTTGAAACGATGTCTTTAGAACAAAAATTATGGTGTATTTGTAATTTTAATTTATTTTAGGGTTATAATAATCTTTATCATTCTAATTTTTTAATTTTTTAACTCAAAATTGCATCGTTTCAATGAACATTAAATAAAATTGTCTAAAATAACATTAGATATTTTTTTTCCATATAAAAATGTGTACTAATGTATTTAGATTTGAAAAGGTATAAGTTTGAAATGTAATTCAAAATTACAAATTAAATTAAAAATTGTCAACATATTAAATTATATATAAGATTGGGTTGATTTGGTATCAATCTTGATATTTCTCTATACAAATATCAGTTTTCATATCATATTTATGATGTAACTTTACCATTTTTTGTGAAAATATATTTTAATTTTAACTCGTTAAATCTAATACACAAGTAAGAAGGTCTCGAAGAGTAAGATAGCTACTTTATACTGAGGGACATCCTTGCTTATGTAATTGTCAGTAACATGGGAAGTTACGTTATGTTATGTTATGCGATGGTTAAGAGGTTAGCTTTCGATTATAAGAAGCAACTATGTATTTAATATGCATCAAAATACTTTATTAACAGGAAAAAAAACATATCAAAATATTCTTTCAATATTATTGTCAAAATCATCCATTAATGCCAATTTTTGACATTAAAATGATCTTAATCAATTTTGTAATAAAAATTCATATCAAAAGATTATGCTTGTCATTTAGAAAATTAAATTAAAGTATTGTATATTTGAATGGGGTAAAATAAATATTTTATTTTACTTTATTTTATTAACTTATTTTTATTTTTATTGTGCTTATTTTTATTTTTTTTATCTCAAGAGTATAATGGGATTTTTAATTTATTTTTTTGGTTTTTTAACCAATATCTTCTTTGGCTTGATAATGTTTTTTTCTTTTATGACAATGTAAAATTCAAATGTTGCAAGTGTAGAGTAAGCTGCGGTACTTGATCAAATAGTGAGCGTCCCTTTTTTGCTCCTTCTCTTTTGTTCTTATTATTTAAGTGGATTGTGATAAAATAAGTGGATTGTGATAAAATAAGCTTAAATTAAATTAATTATGAAATACTAAACAGAAAATGGTGTTCATCTGACTAACAACATGTGTCAAGGGTGAGGTGTCTTTTGTTAACTCATTTAATTTTTTTCTAATTTACATACAAAAGATATCGTGTCTCATATAATTATTCTTATTATTATTTATTATTAATTGTTTCTTTACCTTTAAAATTTCAGGCATATTTGATCATGTATTGTTGTACACTTGTACTTCTCAAACATCTTTTATTTCAGAATTTTTTATTATTCCTTATTCTTTATTTTATTATTCATTTATATTTCTATATTTTAATATTCTATAATGTGATTAAAAATTTAAATTTAGATTATTATTAACAACTTCACTGCAACTTTCAAATTTAGAATTTATATTATTATTTATTTTTAAAAAACTAAGTTCATTATACAATTTAAAGACTTTCTTTATTATATAAATATCACTAAATTTTATGAACCAATGCCATTTCTTATAATTATTCACGGTCCGGGTGGACCGTGAATGTTCATACGATGGAAGATTGAGTAATATCGGATTTGTACGCTTATAGTTATCTATTAGAGACATATTGTGAGGGTGCATAGATCATTGAGCACTTCAACAGTACGATGTTAGCCAATGCGTGGTGTGTGCATAGGGACAACAGAAGTAAAATAAGTCAAAAGTGTGTATTAGTGGTGGTGCTTATTTATAATAGGTTCCCTGGTTGGGCCTCCACTTGGTTTATAGAGAAGTTGTTATGAGGTCCTACCTATTGTTAGGATTCTGACTTGAGTTCCTCTATCAATCACTGCTAATGAGCTTATCCATTTGTTGGGTTGTTGGGATATGGAACCAATAACAATTGCCCTCCAGCCCAATAGTTCGAGAGCTCAGACTGCTGGGATGTAAAGGTCTGCTCAGAATCTCGGCCATACCGAGCCATTAAACTTGGCTAGAGCTTCCGTTTAGGACCAAGTTGATGCGTGTTTGTCGAGGTTGATCTTGCATTTGGCCGAGGAATTTTAAGATCTTCCCTACGATCATCCTCGTATCATGGTTCGACAAACATCTATCTCTCGAGCTCAGCCAGTTCAGGCTGGTGTTAAGCCGAGGTGAGGGTTTCGAACACATATATCGTGGTTGAGGTCGGACATCCACATGGCTGCTTCTGATGTGGTGAGGGGGGTCGAGCTTATGTCAGCACTAAAGGTTGAAATGCAATCACATCAGCTTGACTTTCCAGCTCCTCATTATTTCCTTGGAAGTTACGCTACTCCACGTGTCATATGTCGATCGTTGGTTCGTGCATCGAGGCCTGAACGCCGCCCTTGCATTTAGTGCCTATCTCATGAAATTATCTCTGTACCCTCAGCTTATCAATTTCGCGTGCAAAAGGTCACTCTGTTTCATATCTCCTCGTTTGAGTTTATTTTGAAACTTCCTCATTTCACTTTCAACTTCCTACAACCAACTTTGAGTTTTTGGGTTTCTCTCATCTGGGTTTCTCTTTGCTTATAGCTTGGCCGAGGATTCTTCTTCGCTCATCATTATTTTCCTTCCAAAATAGGTATTTTTATAAACCCATTTCCCTTTGGATTGTCTGTTGTTATTTCCTTTGGCACTTTGTCTGAGTTTGCTTGACGCGATTTTAGACACTAAGTATCCTTGGTAATTCTTGGAGTTTGGGGTTTTGATGTTTGATCATCCTTTTTCCCTTCCTTTTCGATTAAAACAGGGAGATTTTTTTACCGATTGATTTGTATAGGGAGGTGACTGACTTTCTGCATTTAGATGAGTACCCATGGCCAAGGTTCTGGTGTGATCCTTGGTCGAGACAAAGACTGTCGAGATCTTGCTAAGGAAAGCACCTAGGTCTAGAAATTGCCCAAAGGGATTTGTTTTTGGTTTAGGGGCAAGGATCATACGGAGGAGGAGAAACTACAATTACTCCTTCATAATTGCCGAGGTGGAGGAAGTAAGAGGAGACTTGTCTCTTCTGAGCGGGGACGGGGTAGCACCACTTCAGTGAATCTAGGAAAAGGTGTGCAAAGTCTAGTGCCTCAGTTCAACGAGTCTTTAGGTCGAGGTCACATTTTATTCAACACGACTCTAGTAGTGGCACCCTCCACGGAGTCTTCCACCACCTTTAAATGTGCGAATGGAAGAAATAAATATGAGTTTTTCGAATATTCCAGTTCCGGTTTCTCTTTTAGTTAGGGAACATAACTTTCCAATAGAGATTTCTAATGAATCTTCGAATTCGTCATATTCTAACTTTAATCCTTTAGAGCTTGTCTTGGCTTCAAGGAGCTCGGATGCATCTATTTCTTATGCTAACTTTGAGTTTTCTTGTTCTAGGTCACCTATGGCGGAGCCCTTGGCTGATGATCAGGATGAATATTAGGTCTTATAAGAGGCCTTCAACATAAGGTCTCATATATCGGTAGCAGATATCGCCGAGCTTCCTATGGGGAACACTGTCAGGGTAGACCTTTTACCCGCGGCTGCAGATGAGCTAGTTTGTGTAGGCACGGCTGAGGATGAGCCTCATTTTTTCTTTTTCTACCAAGATTTGGCCACCAAGGTGGGGCTTTGAATTCCTTTACTGAGTTCCACATGGCGGTGCTCAAGTATTTACGGGTCGTTCCCACTCAACTTCATCCTAATTCTTGGGCTTTTGTACGAGGTTTCAAGCCGGTGTACAACTATCTTAGCGTCCCGTGCATTGTTCCCATATTCTTCTATTTATTTATAGTGTATACATCTCGGACCGGATCTGAGGCCAAGCAAAGGAAAGGTTGGGTCACCATCCGTGGTGTGCCCTCTCTTGGAATTTTTTGCGTGTTTACGCAATCTTTTAAGAATTTTGAAAACCAGTTCTTCAAGGTTTCTATTCACCCTGGTTTGTGGGCAAGTTTAACGAAAAGGGAAGTCCATTTACTAGGTTCCCCTTATATTGGTCCCAAAGGCATTATAATAAAAAACTTGGCCAGTATCAGACCTTTGAGTCATCACTCATTGATGCCGAAAGGATGACTTTCAATATGTTGATGATGTATGTTAAAGACAATGAATTTTCAACTTAAGTCGAATGGTGAACAAATTTGAAACTAATTTGGATGCTGAATTCAGTATATTACCTTAGCTTTAATCGGGGTTGAAAATTTTCTTTATTGTTCTGTCTCAACTTTGCCTTATTTTTGCAGCATATATGAAGGGTCACCACTATCGCAAATATATCAAGAATTCTTCAAGCAAGGCGAAGTCGGTGAAAACTGACCTGCTGGGGAGACTCCCAAGAAGAAGAGGCTTAAAGTTAAAGAGGGGAGCTCGTCTGTTGCGGTCGTCATTGCACAACAAGTTACTCCGCCTGCTCGTTCTCAACTTGGGACGCGATGTTGCTTGAGCCTGGGGAACTTTGGAAGAAACGAGTCTTAGACGGTTTTCAAGCTGCAATGAAACCGCCTCCCCAAGGCTGATATATTGGCCACTCTGACCCAAATGGAGGAAGAGTCCTTAATACTACCCCTCCGATTCAATCATTTTGGCAGCTTCATGTGAGCTACGAGTTGTCCAGTTCCTCGAGTGTGATACTTTCTCTCAAATTGGATAAGCTCTCTAAAGAGAAAACCGATTTGGAGGCTGAGATCAATGCCCTTAATGAAAAACTTTCCAAAGCCAAGGAGGATATGAAAACCTCCATCACTTCGACAGAGGCAACAATGTCGGAAAAAAAGTGCCAATTGAAAAGTTTACAAGCCGAGTTTGAGGAGGCTAAGGCTTTGGTGGAGAATACGACTGAGCAGTCTTTTGCCAATGCGATTAGTCAAGCTCGGGTTTTGAACTCGGGTCTAGTTACTGATAGGATGGACTTTAGTTACTTTGTGAAGGACGGCTTAATCGGACACGATACTCCAGAGGCGGGCATGAAGCTCTTGAAGAAGCCGAGGCCAACACCTATAGAGAAGATATTCTTGCTGCCAACGCAACTTGAAGGGTCGGTATGCAGACTTAGTTTGTAATTTCTAATGCTTGGGGACTTCAGTCCCCTTTTTAGATTTGTAAACACATTGTCGGGTTTCTGGCCTTATTCATGTTATCTTATTTTACCTTCTATGGTTGTTTAAGTTGATTTTCTTGTCTGACCTTTATTTCAAAAATTACGCTTTCGTAAAACTTGGTTATCGGTTTCGGCTTGCATTGTCGAGATCCTTATTTTCATGTATTATTTCTTTGGGGTTTTTCTTTACAGTCGAGACGCCTTATTTCTCCTCTTTAAGGAACGACTATTAATATCGAATCAACTTTTTACTCATGTTGCGTTATCTGATCTTGCTTTTTACCGAGATCATTAGTTTATATCGAAGTTCCGGTCTTTATGGACTCGATCTTTATGCGTTAAGGTCCTTCTTTGATTATTTAGATATCTATTCCGTTTTCAGAGTTCATGATAAAATCATCCTTCACTGATAATGATAATGTTTTACCTAAAAAGATGTGTCATAGTGAAAGACTTATAGTTATGTTCTATTGATGCGCTTAAGAAAAGGAAAAAACAACGACTGGCCTTCAATGTATTCACAGACCTATTTTATTGGCAAATAAATAGAAATCCTAACTACAGAGGTCGTCTCTGAGCTCTAGAGATCGATCGCCTCTTCCTAACTGAAATAAATCTTCAGTTTGTCCGCATTCCAGGTCCTTTTGATGGGCTTTTTCAATAATTTCTCAAATATATAAGCACCTCTGCCTAAGTTTTTTCTAACTCGGTATGGACCTTCCCAATTCACGACAAGCTTCCTGTTGGGTGTGAACTTGTTGGTTGCTTAAAATATTCTTGTAAAGGACGTTCCCTTACTTCAGTTCATCAAGAGAAAACACATTCGTTCTCTTGACTTCAACCCAAATGCGCAAGTGTACGCATCAAGTAATAAATGGGACTATTAGTGCCCAGATTATATGATAGTACTCTAAGTAATGCCTTAAACTATTTTAAAAAGAATGAAAATGAAAAGAAAAGTTAGTAATTGATCTGTTTGGTCAAACATTCCCTACTATCTTGACAACGTTCCTCAAGAATAGTAAGTTCAATCTGACAGCAAACAGCTCCTCGCATCGTTATATATGAAATGCTTCTTGATGAGAGAAGGAACAATAGTATTCATTGGAGATTTGTTGATACAAGATCGAAAAAAGAAAATAACAATAACAATAGTTAAGAGACAACAATATGGAGAGATAAAACAATTTTTAACACAAGGAACAGATCCACTGTTCCATTCTTTAATAGCTATATTCTCTACTCAAGACTTAACCCTTATGAATTTGTTCAGGTCTTTTCACTGCCAACTTTGATTCCTCAGCTCATGGACTAAATGGCTCACAGGTTTCCATATACCTATAGCTCCCTTGACTCCAACAGTTACTAAGTACAGGACCTTCAGTAAACGAGGTGGTTCCTTATTCCTAAGGCAACTAACAGTGTTGTTTTCACAACACTACATTCCCCTCTGATTAAGCTGTCTGAAATTCCTTCCTTATGGAAGTCCCTTTCTCAGTATGCGTTCAATTTCCATTTATACGCAAAGAATATAGCACACTTAATCAGAGAAATACAAAAGCTTCAGCACAAGAGTTTTGAAAATAGTTCTTTAAGAACTTCACAGTTTTTTTCGTTCCACAAATAACTTAGCTCATGGCTAATACTTTAAACATAATTATTTCAAACTGAAATCCCATACACCCGAGATTCAGTTCAGAGATAACGAATGGAAGAGAAGATAAATAACACGTTATATTAATGAGAAACAAGTTAGGTTACAACGATATGAAATGGAGAAGTATGGTTACTGCTCGTGAGGAGTCTCAAGTGGGTGATACAGAACAGTGGAGAAGTTGTTGTCACTTAACTATTGCTAAAACTATACAAAGAAAAACTACAAAGGAAACTAAGTGATCTCTTCTTAAGGAATTCGATGGTTTCTTCGTTCTGCACGTCGTCTTAATAGGCAGAAGAGTGGGTGGCAAAACTTGTAATTTCCATTGAGTTGTTTTCTTGACTGCATGAAAGGGGCGGTGTGAACAGTGCTCTAAGGGACGCAAGTTGCTGGATGAGACACTTATTGTTGAGATTTGCCTTTTCTTCTGTATTCCCCCATGCCTTGCTTTCCTCTTAGCCAATATAAACTCTTTATTCACTACTGTACACGTTTCTTCCTGCTTGATTGTTGTACCGCTTATGCTTTATGGAAGCTTCTTTTCAACGTTACCTGCAAAGTGTACAGAGAGAATGAGTTAGTGGAGCAGGTATATTTAATGTTCCCATTCTGTTTCCCTTTTTTATATTTCTCAAATGATTACATCATCATCTGTTCCCCATTGTGTTTTTGTCACAAAGATAAAAACACGTGTTTTTAATGCAAAAGTTGTTCATCAGATGAGGCTAGCAGCTATCTGTCCCAAGTGGGATTCAATGTTTCTGACCACAGCATCGTTCTTGGTAACATATTCCTTGACATAATTCTCCAAGGTATTGATGCGTTGATCATCTCTGGGGAACAGAGCATAATTGGGTCTTCTCTGTTAGTCATATGCTCCATTTCCCATACTGCTGCCTTGTTGGTCTATTGCTGCTGATTGTTGTATGGTCTTTGGTTCATGGGTGGTCTCCATTAGGTGTTATGGTTCTAATCTTTCACTATGGTGCCTCCAGAATTCTGATTGTTGTTGCATCCTGCATGTTGATTGTCTCTGGCCTGGGTGAAGTTTTTGTTCCCAAAATTTTCAGCATAACATACCAAGGTTATGGATGGGCAGTCTGTTGAATCATGATGATCACCACATGCTGAGCATGGTTCACTCTCAGTGGCTGTAAGTTGTAAGACTTCCATTCTTGGTTGTTCTTGGTCAGCTTTCAGATTCTTCACCTCATTCATTAGTGCAGCCAGTTGGGCTTCCATTGCAGTTTGCTTGTCTAATTCTAGCATGCCTGGCTTCCTCACTGGGTTCGTTCTTTCTAGTGGCAAGTGGAGACATCTTTCTACACTGCTTTCTATTATTTCGTATCTGGATTCAAGAGAACCTGTGAAAAAGTATCCTCCTGCAGCAAAATCTAAATGTGATTGAGAAGTATGGTAAATTCTCTTATAAAAAGACTGTAAAATCCCCCATTTTTTCACTCAATGGTTAGGACATTTCCTGATGATGTCCTTATATCTCTCCCATGCTTCATAGAGATTTTTTCTATAAAACATTCTGAAGTTAGAGAGCTCTGCTGTAACATCAGCTTGACGAGACATAGGGAGAAATCTCTTTGTGAACTTGTTAGAGAATTCTTCGCATAAGTGTATGGATCTAGGGGTGAGGGATTTCATCCAGATTTTGGCTTTTGAGCCTAAAGAGTGAGGGAACAGCCTCATTCTCATACTCTCTTCTGTCACACCCCCAGTTCTGAAATTATCACAAATATCTTGAAAGTTGGTGAGGTATGTGTACGATTCTTCTGCAGGGAGTCCATTGAAGACTCTAGCCTCCCTGATCATATTAAACATGATGGGTTTTAGCTCAAAGTTGGGAGCTATAGAGGGGAGGATTACTCCTCTTTCTGGTTTGTTCCTTGAAGGAGCAGCAGAGCTCTGAAGTTCTGTTCAGGAGGAATCTCTTCATTGTTATTGTTATGATCAGCCATGTTTGTTCCAAAAATATTTTCCCTGAGATCTTTTCTTCTCTTGTGAAAAGTACATTCTGGTTCAGAATCAAAGAAGAACTCAGGTATTTCAGTGGAGTGATGAAAATCTATTTCAAACTCTTCACCCATAAACCAGAAAACATATACAGTACGAACAACAGAGTATATAACAAAGAATTAATGAATGATATATATACAGAGTATGAAATAAAACAATTTAAGGACATAATTTAGTGTAACTATCCCCGACAACGACGCCAAAAACTTGTTCGGTGTGAACTTGTTGGTTGCTTAAAATATTCTTGTAAAGGATGTTCCCTTACTTCAGTTCATCCAGAGAAAACATATTTGTTCTCTTGATTTCAACCCAAGTGCGCAAGTGCACACATCAAGTAATAAATAGGACTATTAGTGCCCAGATTATCGTTCCCACGAGAATAGTACTCTAAGTAATGCCTTAAACTATTTTAAAAAGAAAGAAAATGAAAGAAAAAGTTAGTAATTGATCTATTTGGTCAAACGTTCCCTACTATCTTGACAACGTTCCTCAAGAATAGTAAGTTCAATCTGACAGCAAACAGCTCCTCGCATCGTTATATATGAAATGCTTCTTGATGAGAGAAGGAACAATAGTATTCATTGGAGATTTGTTGATACAAGATCGAAAAAAGAAAATAACAATAATAATAGTTAAGAGACAACAATATGGAGAGATAAAACAGTTTTTAACACAAGAAATAGATCCACTGTTCCATTCTTAAATAGCTATATTCTCCACTCATGACTTAACCCTTCTGAGTTTGTTCAGGTCTTTTCACTGCCAACTCTAATTCCTCAGCTCATGGACTAAATGGCTCACAAGTTTCCATTCCTATGGCTCCCTTCACTTTAACAGTTACTAAGTACAGGACCTTCAGTGAACGAGGTGGTTTCTTATTCCTAAGGCAACTAGCAGTGTTATTTTCACAACACTACCTTCCCCCTCTGATTAAGCTGACTGAAATCTCTTCCTTATGGAAGTTCCTTTCTCAGTATGCGTTCAATTTCCATTGATATGCAATGAATATAGCACACTTAATCGGAGAAATACAAAAGTTTCAGTACAAGAGTTTTGAAAATAGTTCTTTAAGAACTTCACAGTTTTTCCGTTCCACAAATAACTTAGCCCATGGCTAATACTTTAAACATAACTATTCCAAACTGAAATCCCATAGACCCGAGATTCAGTTCAGAGATAACGAATGAAGGAGAAGAGAAATAACACATTATATTAATCGGAAACGAGTTAGGTTACAACGAAATGAAAATGGAGAAGTATGGTTGCTGCTCGTGAGGAGTCTCAAGTGGGTGATACAGAAGAGATGAGAAGTTGTTGTAACTTAACTATTGTTAAAACTACACAAATAAAAACTACAAAGAAAAATAAGTGATCTATTCTTAAGAAATTCGATGGTTTCTTCGTTCTAGAACGTCCTATTTATAGGCAGAAGAGTGGGTGGCAAAACTTGTAATTTCCATTTAGTTGTTTTCTTGACTGCATGAAAGACGCGGTGTGAATAATGCTCTGAGGGACGGAAGTTGCTGGATGAGACACTTATTGTTGAGATTTTCCTTTTCTTCTGCGTTCTCCCATGCCTTGCTTTTCTCTTAGCCAATGAGAACTCTTTATTCCCTACTGTACACGTTTCTTCCTGCTTGATTGCTGTACCGCTTATGCTTTATGAAAGCTTCTTTTCAACGTTACCTGCAAAGTGTACAGAGAGATTGAGTTAGTGGAGCAGGTGTATTTAATGTTCCCATTCTGTTCCCTTTTTCTATATTTCTCAAATGATCACATCATCATCCATTCCCCACTGTGTTATTGTCACAAAGATATAAACACGTTTCTTTAATGCAAAAGTTGCTCATCAGATGAGGGAACATATGGTACTTTGCCATCAAAATGGCCTTATATGGGAACGAATTTTTGTCCCATCACTTCCCATATTTGGCATTCTTGTTGCCAACGTCTGCTTTTCTCAACACCAGGTAGTCTATCACAAAAGACCTCGACTTGACCTTCTTGTTAAACTGTGCCACGGTGAGACGTTTAGCCATTAGATCCCTATAATTAGCGTTCTCCCGCTATTCATCTAGTAAGTCGAGCTCCACAATAGAACTTCGTTGTTCTCTTCCTTAGGCTTTTTTCCAGCCTTTGCATGATTCGCCAGGATGGTTCCTCAATCTCGACCAGGATCATGGCTTCACATCTATATGTCAGCTTGAATGGGGTATACCCCATAGAGGTTTGGGTACTTGTCTTGTATCTCCAAAAGATAAGGTGAAGTTGTCGCACCCAATTTTCTTTTGCATCAAAAAGTCTCTTATTGAGTTCGTCCACTATAACTTTGTTCGCAGCCTCGATCTGTCCATTGGACTGCGGATGTTCAACTGAGGCAAAATGATGTTTCATCTTAAAATTGGCCATAAGCTCTTAAAACTTTTTATCGGCAAACTGTGTGCAGTTGCCTGTGATGATTTCCATGGGGATGACAAATTGGAAAATGAGGTTCCTCTAGAAGAATCTTTGGATTCTTGCCAAGGTTATTGTGGTGAGGGGTTTGGCCTCAATCCACTTAGTGAAATAATCCAATGCTATAATTAACCAACGTAATTGCCCCTCTGCAGCGATAAAAGGTCCTAGAATGTCCATACTCCACTTATAGAACGGCTAGGGTGTTGTGATCATACTTAGCTCTTAAGAAGGAGCTGGTAGACATGTGCATGTCTTTGACATTGGTCGCATCTTTTGACGTACTCTTTCGCATCGGCCTCCATTGTCGGCCAATAATACTCGACCCTCAATGTTTTTCGGGGTAGGACTTACCCCTCATATGGTGGCCATTAATCTCTTCGCGGATCTCGGTCAGGATGTACTCAACCTCAGTTGGGTCTAGGCACTTAAGCATCGGTGCGTAGAAACCCATTCTATACAGCTTCCCTTCAATTATTTTATACCAGACTGAGTTTTTGACGAGCTTCCTGGCCTCAAAGACCTCATCAGAAAGTAAACCTTTTTGTAGGTATGCCATTATAGGCTTCCTTTAATCTTCAAAATTGGTGATTAACATTACACAACTAGGTTCTAGGATATTTTGTTGGACCACGATTCTGTGGTTTCTAGGATTCTTTGTGCTTGCGAGCTTTGAAAGTATGTTGGACCTTCCATTCTCGCTCTTTTAGATGTATTGGACCACTTTTTTTCATCAAACTCGACCAACAGCTCCCTTACCTTGCTTAACTACTTCATCATGATGGCGCTCTTTACTTGTGAGGTGACGAGTTGGGAGTCACTAAGCATCTTTACTCTTTTAGCCTTATCTTCCTTTGCCTTTAGTAAACCAGCAATAAAGGCCCCATACTCGGCCTGATTGTTGGAGGTTGGAAATCTTAGGTGCAAAGAATGCTCTATAGATATGCCCTATGGGTTTTCAAGTATGACTCCTGCACCATTGCCCTTAGTGTTGGAGGATCCATCCACATAGATTGTCCATAAGTCACCTGAGGATTCTGACTCACCTTTGAGTGGGGTCAATTCTAATATGAAGTCGGCTAAAGCTTGCGACTTAATTGTATGCCAAGGCTCGTAGGATATATCAAACTCTAAAATCTCCATAGCCCAATGAATCATTCTTCCAGCTAAGTCGGGTGTTGGGTGGTTTGCTGATGGTGGAAAATATAAGTTCTGATAGGGGACGTTCTTCTGTTCTTGCAGAACACAGATTCGTCCCTTAGTTCCAACCCAAGAGCGCAAGTGCACGCATCAAGTAATAAAGAGAGTATTAATGCCCAAATTATCGTTCACACGAGGATAGAGTGCCAATTATTGTTTTATCACTGTTTCTAAAGAGTGAAAATGAGAAGAAAAATTAGTAAATGAACTGTCTGGTCAAACGTTTCCTACTGTCTTGACAACGTTCCTCAGGAACAATAGGTTCAACCCGATGGCAAACAATTGCTCGCTGCGTTATGTATGTGATCCTTCCTGTTTAGAAGAAGGTGAGATAACAATCATTGGAGTTTTTATAAGTACTAAATAAAATAAAATAAAATTACTAAAACAAAAATAACTATAATCAAGAGACAACAGGGTGGTGGTTAAAACAGTTTAACAGAAGGAACAGATTCACTGCTTCACTCTTAAAGGGGCTGTTTTCTTTGCTCAAGACTTAGCACCTTTTGGCTTTGTCCCAGTTTCTTTGCCTGCCAACTCTGATTCCTCAGCTCATGGTCTAGATGGCTCACAAGTTTCCATATTCCTATGGCTCCCTTGACTCCAACAGGTACTTAGTTCAGAACCTTAAAATGGACGAGTTGGCCCCTTATTCCTAAGGTGACCAGTAGCGTTTTTGTCATGACATCTACCTTCCTCCAATGGCTAAGCTGTCTGAAATCCCTTCCTTATGGAAGTTCCTTTCTCAGTATGTACCTAATTTCCATTGGCACACAATGAATATAGCTTACTCAGCCAAAGAAATACAAAAAGCTTCGGTCAAGAGTTTTGAAAATAGTTCTTTAAGAGTTTCACAGTTTACCCGTTCCATAAATAGTTCAGCTCATGGCTGATAGTTTAAACATAATTATTCTCAACTGAGATCACATAGACCCGAGATTCAGTCAAGAGATAACGATTGGAACGAAGAGAAAAACACTTATATTAATTTAAAAGACAATTTACAAAAAGAAATAGAAAATGGAGAAAGATGGGTAATTGCTCGTGAGGAGTCTTGATGGTTGTTTACAGAGAAGGGAAGAGGGGTTGTCGCTTAACTATAATTACAACTAAAAATTAATCTAAGTTACTAACTACTACTAAGTGATATCTTCTTTTCGGACTGCAAACCCTCCAGGATTCGATGATGTTTAATGTGAGGGAGGTCCTATTTATAGCAGGAAGAGGAATGGCAAGGCTGTAATTCCCTTGGAGCTAGTTGCTTGAATGAGGGGACGGGACGGTGGCAACAGAGTGTGAAGCTTGCGTGAATTGCTGAATGGAACAGGGTTTGGTGATGATTAGCCGTCGTTTGCAAGCCTTCCCATGTTTTGCTTCTGTCTTCAGCCAATGAGAACTCTTGATTCTCTGCTCTTCACGTTTCCAGCTGCTCAGTTGGTGCACCACCTTGCTTTTTAGAAGTCTTTAACTCTACGTTACCTGCAAAGTGTACAGAAGCATTAAATGAATGGAGCAGGTGCATTAAATGTGTCTCAGTCCGTTCCCCTTTTAATATATTTTAAAGAAATACGTTACCATCCTTTCTCCCACTGTGTTTTTGTCACAAATGTGTAAAACAAGTGATTTTCATGCTGAAGTTGCTCATCAGATGAGGGAACATATGATATTTTGTCATCAAAATGGGCTTAGATGGGAACGAATTTACGTCCCATCAAACACCCCAAAACTAAACTGTTGGTTGTCCTCAAACAACTCAGAAATATTGTATTGGTCTGCCCAATTTAAAAGAATAGCATAACAGTAAGGAACTTGAGCCAGTGAGCAACCATGAACTTTTCAGAAAATGAACTACTCTCCATAGTAAACAGTAAGAGGATTCTGTCCCCAGATAAGAGAAGGTTGCTGATCTTTTGTCTCACTGTCACTCATGGGTTGGTGTTTGCTCTGTCCATTCCTGGATGTGATTCTTCAGAACTTGCCTTTCTGCTGCGTTCCTATGAAGTACAACTGTCTTCCGTTCCAAGGATTCTTTGATGGGTAAGTGTATGGAAATGTGGAAGAAGTGGTGGTCTGATTTGTGGGATCAAGGAACATTTAGCTTTTGTGCCTTTGAACTTGGACTTTTTCTATTTTGAGGGAACGCCTTTTCTTGAACTTTTTTCCCCCCTTGGAGGAAGGTTTTCTGGTTTTTCTTGAATTCTTTTGAATGGCTGTTCCCCTTTCTCTTTGTTTTTCTTCTGTCTTTTTTTTGTTCATTGTTGAGTACGTTCCTTGTTCTTTCTGATTGACCAGATAGTGTATGACGGAGGTGAGGTGAGTGTGTGATTCTATTTTGATCCTTGACAGCAGAATTCATCTGTCTTCAGCAGTACTTACAACATTAAGGAAAGTTGAGAAGTTTCATAGTGGTTACACCTCAGGAACGCTCTTAAAAGTAGGTGTTTGGCATTTTTCCGTTCCGTTTCTTGCATCGTTAATAATTTGATATGGCCCGGTCCATCTTGATTTGAGTTTACCTGGGAACAGTCTGAGTCTGGAGTTGAAGAGTAGCACATTCTGACCGATTTTTAGATCTCTGTTCCTAATCCTTTTATCGTGCCACTTCTTCATCTTCTCCTTGTACAATCTATGATTTTCGTATGTGTTCCCTCTGAACTCCTCTAACTCTTCGAGTTGCAGCAATCTCTTCTCTCCAGCTGTTTTTTCATCCATGTTGAGGGTTTGGATTGCCCAGTAAGCCTTGTATTCCAGTTCGAGGGGGAGGTGGCAAGCTTTGCCAAATATCAATCTGTACGGGGAACACCTTAAAGGTGTTCTATATGCTGTTCTGTAAGCCCATAATGCCTCGTCTAACTTGAGAGACCAGTCTTTTTGAGAAGGATTAACTACCTTCTCTAAGATTCTCTTAACCTCTCGGTTAGAGACTTCAATGAGACCACTGGTTTATGGATGATATGGGGTTGCAACTTTGTGTTTGACTCTATATTTCTCCAACAACCTCTCAAGTTGGCAGTTGATGAAATGTTTCCCTCGGTCGCTGATGAGACAATGTGGGGTTCCATATCTGGTTAATATGTTACTTTTTAAAAAATTTATAACCACCTTAGCATAATTAATGGGTAAAGCAACTGCTTCTTCCCACTTGCTTACATAATCCACAGCCATTAATATGAATTTGTTCCCACAAGAAGGAGGAAAAGGTCCCATGAAGTCAATGCCCCAAACATCAAATAATTCAACTTCTAGGATCGGATTGAGGGGTATTTCATTTTGTTTAGTCAAGTTACCTTCTCTTTGACATTTATCGCAATTTTTTGCATATTGAAGTGCATCTTTAAAAAGGGAAGGCCAGAAAAAACCTGACTGAACGCCTAGATGTCCTCCATATGGGGACGAATGAAAGTGTTAAAGGATTTGAGGCTGTTCTTCTTCTAGGACGCACCTTCTTATCATTTGGTCTACGCATCTTTTGAACAGTAGTGGTTCGTCCCAGAGGTAGTTCCTGCAATCGTGAAAAAATTTATTCTTCTGCATTTTATTCTCCTCATAAGGTTCCAGCCCTGCTGCAAGGAAGTTGGCTATATCAGCAAACCAAGGAGCATTTGTCTCTATGTGATTAATGACAAACAATTGTTCGTCAGAGAACGTTTCCTTGATTGGTAGCCCCACTTCAATGTGTTCCAATCTGGACAGATGATCTACAATTTGATTTTCGCATCCTTTTCTTTCTTTGATCTCTAGATTGAACTCTTGTAGTAGTAGGGCCCATCTTATCAATCTTGGTTTCGCTTCCTTTTTTGAGAAGAGGTACTTGAGAGCTGCATGGTCAGTATGGATAATAACTTTTGATCCTAAAATGTAAGGCCTGAATTTTTCACAAGCATATACTACAGCCAATAGCTCTTTTTCAGTGACTGAATAGTTCACCTGAGCTTCATTTAGAGTTTTACTGGCATAATATATGCTACGAAAAAGTTTGTCCTTCCTCTGGCCCAGAACTACCCCAATAGCATGATCACTTGCATCGCACATTAGTTCAAAGGGTAAGTTCCAATCTGTAGGTTGGATGACAGGTGTGGTAATGAGCTTATTTTTCAAAGATTCAAAAGCTTTCACACAGTCAGAGTTAAACTCAAATTTTATATCTTTTTCTAATAAGTGGCATAAAGGTCTAGCTATTTTGGAAAAATCTTTAACAAACCTTCTGTAAAAGCCTGCATGCCCTAAAAAAGATCTCAAGGTTTTTACACTTACTGGTGGTGGCATTTTTGCTATAGCTTCTACTTTGGCTTGATCCACTTCCAGTCCTTCTCTGAAAATTTTGTGTCCCAGGACTATTCCTTCTTTCACCATGAAGTGGCATTTTTCCCAATTAAGTACTAGATTAGAGGACAGACACCTTTGAAGAACTTCTTCTAAATTGTCCAAGCAGTGATCATATGACGTCCCTAGTACTAAAAAATCATCCATAAAGACTTCTACTCCTTCACCTATTAGATCAGAAAAGATTGAGAACATACACCTCTGGAATGTTGCTGGTGCATTACATAACCCGAAGGGCATCCTTCTGAAAGCGAACGTTCCATATGGGCAGGTGAAGGTGGTTTTATGTTGATCTTCTGGTGCCAAAGCAATTTGATTATACCCCGAATATCCATCAAGGAAGCAGAAGTATTCTTTACCTGCTAGGTGGTCCAGCATCTGATCTGTAAAAGGGAGTGGGAAATGGTCCTTCCTAGTGGCATTGTTGAGCTTCCTGTAATCTTGGCAGATTCTCCATCCTGTAACCTTTCTCACAGGTATCAGTTCATTCTTTTCCACTGTGATGCCTCCCTTTTTGGGGACGCATTGGACAAGACTTACCCAACTGCTGTCAGATATTGGGTATATGATCCCTGCATCCAGCCATTTGATGACTTCCTTTCTCACCACTTCTTTCATTATAGGGTTCAATCTTCTTTGGTGTTCCATTGAAAAACTGTTAGGATCAGTCAATAATATTTTATGCATACAAAATGAGGGACTGATACCTTTGAGATCAGCTATGGTCCAACCGATGGCTCCTTGGTATTTTTTTAGCTTGTCAAGCAACAGTCCTTCTTGTTCCTTGGTAAGAAATGAAGAAATGATCACAAGAAGGGTTTTGTTGTTCCCCAGATATGCATATTTCAAATGTTGGGGAAGGGGTTTTAGTTCTAACTCAGGGGTTTTTTCTGAAGAAGGTCTTTTGAGCTGCTTCTCCTTTTCAGTTCTTATCAAAGGTTCGGGGCTTCTTTACTGTAGATAGCAACTCTACTCTTCCTGTTGTGGGTCTTCTTCTTCTTTCTCGTATTCTTCTTCCTTTGTTTTTCTGCTATGCTGATTGTCTAACAAAGTGAGAGCAGAACATTCTTCCAAGTCTTCTCCTTCATCCTGGAACTTTATTGCTTTGACAATATTGAACTTGATCTCATCGTCATGAACTCTTATGGTTAGTTCCCCCTTTTGTACATTGATAACTGCTCCTCCAGTTGCCAGGAACGGTCTACCCAGAATGATGGGAACGTCAACATCATCTTCATAATCCAGAATGATGAAATTAGCAGGTAAGATAAATTTATCTACTTTGACTAGCAGATCTTCAATCTTCCCTTATGGCTTGACGATGGATCAGTCTGCCGTTTGCAAGGTCACCGTGGTGGGTTTAGCTGGTCCAGTGGATAATTGTTTGAAGACAGATAAGGGCATGAGATTGATGCTGGCCCCTAAATCACACAAGGCTTTCCCTTGGTACGTGTTTCCTATAATGCAAGGAATGGTGAAGCTTCCTGGGTCTTGAAGCTTAGGTGGGAGTCTGCCTAAGTATTGGCAACTCTCTTGTGTCATTTTTACAGTCTCATATTTCGTTATTCTTTTTTTTTGAGAGGACATCTTTCATGAATTTTACGTACCTGGGCATCTGTTCTAGTGCGTCCACCAGAGGAATGTTGATGTGAAGTTGTTTTAAAATTTCCAGGAACTTTCCAAAGTGCTTATCCTTCTGGTGCTTTTTTGTTCTTTGAGGGAATGAAATTTTTGTCGATATTTGCCTGCTTTGAGTTGGACTGATTGGTTAGCTGTTGGCTTCCTTTTCAGGTTCTGGGTTCTGTTCATCTGTGACTGGTAATTGTTGCTGTGCTTTTGGGGCTTCTTCAGGTGTTTCAGTTTGTTCCTTTTCCTTTGGTTGAACTGTGGGCTGTGCTGTGGCTTTCCCACTTCTTAAGGTGACAGCCTTGATTTGCTATGAAGGGGAGATAGGTGTTACTTTTGGCGAGGTTGTTGAAAGAACGTCAGTATTCCTTGCTAATGATCCTTGTGTTCTGGTTTGAAGGTTGGCAGCAATCTGCCCCAGATGAGACTCAATGTTCCTGACCACTGCGTCATTCCTGGTGACATATTCCTTGACATAATTTTCCAGGGTGTTGATGCGTTGGTCATCTCTGTGGAACGGAACATAATTATTTCTTCTTTGTTCAAACGTTCCACTACTGCTACCTTGCTGATACTGCTGTTGATTGTTGTTGAATGGTCTCTGGTTAATGGGTGGCCTCCATTGGGTGTTGTGGTTCTGATCCTTAATGATAGTTCCTCCAAGGCTTGAATGTGTATTTCGTCCTGCTTGTTGATTGTCTCTGGTGAAGTTCCTATTTCCAAAATTTTCTGCATAACACACCAATGCAGTGGATGGGTAGTCTGTTGAGTCATGAAGGTCACCACAGCCTGAGCATGGTTCTGTTTCAGTTGCTGTGAGTTGTAAGACTTCCATCCTTGGTGTTGCTTGGTCAACTTTCAGGTTCTTCACTTCATTCATGAGTAATGCCAGCTAGGCTTCCATGGCTTTTTTTTTATCCATTTCTAGCATGTCTGTCTTCCTCACTGGGCTCACTCTGTCTATTGGCCATTGGAGACATCTTTCAGCAGTCCCTTCTATGATTTCGTATCTTGATTCAAGTGTTCCTGTAAAGAAATATCCTCCTGCAGCAAAATCTAGGTGAGATTGAGAAGTATGGTCAAGTCCTTTATAGAAAGATTGTAGCACTCCCCAACTCTCTACCCCATGGTTTGGACATTTTCTTATGATGTCCTTGTATCTTTCCCATGCTTCATAGAGATTTTCTCCATGAAACATTCTGAAGTTAGAGATTTCAGCTCTAACACCAGCTTGTCGAGACATTAGGAGAAATCTCTCTATGAACTTGTTAGAGAGTTCTTCCCATGTGTGGATTGATCCAGGGGTGAGAGTTTTCATCCATGTTTTAGCTTTTAAACCCAAGGAGTGAGGGAACAACCTCATTCTTATGCTCTCCTCTGTTACACCCTCGGCTTTAAAGTTAATATCTTGGAATGTTGTGAGGTGTGTGTAAGGATCTTCTGCAGGGAGTCCATTGAAGACCCCTGCTTCCCTATTCATGTGGAACATGATAGGTTTTAGTTCAAAATTTGGTGCTACAGGGGGAAGGATTACTCCCCTAACTGGTCTGTTCCTGAAAGGAGCAGCCAAAGTTCTGTTCAGGGGGAACCTCTTCATTGTTATTATTGTGATCAGCCATGTTTTTAGGAAATCTTTCGCTGAGGTTCCTTCTTCTCCTATGGAGTGTGCGTTCTGGCTCAGAATCTAAGAGAAACTCAGGTACTTCAATGGAGTAGTTAGAGTTTGTTTCAAACTCTTCACTCATAAACCAATAGCAGTTCTTCTGTCTTGCAGAACACAGATTCGTACCTAGTTCCAACCCAGATGCACA